GATCCCGCCTGAGATTATCCTCCCATCTACGTCTAGGTCTCTCCAGAGGTCTCTTCCCCGCAGGCTTCCCAACCAATACCCGGTGCACACCTCTTGTCCCATCCATGCGCGCTACATGCCCTGCCCATCTCATTCTTCTCAACTTAATCAGTTTTCTCCATGCCCCATCGTCTTCTCTCCTACGCCCAAATATTCTCCTCAACACACGATTCTCAAACACCTGTAAACTGTGTTCCTCCCTCAGAGTGAGAGACCGTGTTTCGGACCCATACAAAACAACATTCATATGAAACACGATGGTCACACTAACTTGCAACTTGTAATATTATACCTTGCGGGTGTTTAAAATAGGCTGCCGTTAAACCACTTAAATTGATTTTATTGTTTTTGTGGAGTGATCAGACTCGTATTCAGAAATCGTTGTAAAGTTTGGCAGTGAATAATGCGTTTCCAGCCGGGAGCTGGGAATTAACAGTTGCTAAAGACAAATAAGAAGAAACTTAAATATTTTAAACATCATTATCCAGGCAGAATTAAGCCCACAGATGCTTATTCTGCATTTGATAACGCCAAAGAACATTACTCCCTAAAGGCAATAAATTTACTGCTCTTATGTGCCTCTGACGTATGACGTGGGCAACGTTATACTTAGAGAAATGTTTTACAGATCTGAACCCTTCTCTCTTCAAAATATCTGGGTGACATGAAAATTGTCTTCTCTTATATTTAATTGTCCTTCAGTGGCCACGCGGTCTGAGGCTTGGGCCTTGTCACTGAGACCATGGGTTCGAATCCCACTCAAGCCATGGATGTTTGTCTGTGTTGTGCTGTCCTTTGTACAGGTAGAGGCTTTGCGACGGGCCGATCCCTCGTCCAAGGAGTCCTACCAAATGTCTATAGATCGAGCCAACGAAAAGTTGGGACCCGCAGTGCTCAGGAACTTGAAGAACGGGTCGTTCCCAGTATATTTAATTAGAAAATAAATTTTTCATGATAAGGGAATGCATTTATTTTAAGCATATGTTATAAAATTGTTATTTTACTTGAACAGCGACAAATTTCATAATTAATTTTACTTTGAGGTGTAAAATTACACCGTCTGTTTTACAGGGTATCCTGGGATCAGGATTTGCACTCAAAGTACAACAAAAACAACGTCAGAAGCATTTTAATCGTCAGATTCCTGCAGCCGCCATGTTGATACAGTGCCTATGGCGGTGTTACGCTGCAGACAAATCATATAATAGCATCGCAACTTGGAAAATCTATATAAAAGATCTGAATCAACAAAACCAGAACACATCAACACCATTAGGCAAGGTAAGTATTATACAGGGAGTAAATTCATGTTGTTGGACGCTTGAATACGCAACTCTCGATTTCTCCACAACAAAAATTAAGATTTTTCCATTGGAATGTCACTGAAAAGTCATGACGTGGTTCCCAAAGAATTGTTTATTATTATAATCTGACACTTAAAAGCAAACTAAATAAAAGACAAATAAAACAAATAAATTTAAATATATTACAGATTTAAAATAATAAATATAATTAAACATTGGTCATATTCTATGATAAATAAGAAAAATGTACGAACGGAGCAATATTTTCTGGTTAGCTACCAAAGGAGAGGCAATTTCTAGTTGAGTGGCTTGGTTTAAACCAGTTTTGCCAATTTTTTTAAATTTCTTTACTCCACATACTAGCATAGCTGATGCATTTTTAATTTTTACTTCATAATGAATAATGAAATAAAAGTTAGGTGTTGTACAATTTTTAAAGCAGTGATCAGGACACATAACATTTAAAATATTGAAAATGAGGTTGGTGGCAACACAAAACAAATATTTACTTTTAATGTGTAAACATTAGAAAGTCAGGAACCAATAAATAAATACCAATTTTTGATCAAAAGTAAATGAAAGCAGTAAATTTTACTTTGTACTAAACAATACATTGAACTATAATAGTAAACACAAAGAAAAATAGCACTTCTAGGGGCGTTTTATTTTCATAACCTATAAATATTCGGTGAAAATACAATAATTAATCACCACGAGAAGTGTCCTAGAAAAAAAATCATAATTACTGGATGGCGTGTATAAATTGAAAATTTCAGTGTGTATAATTTTTTTCAGCAGTAACATGCCAATTGTAAATACTGGGGCAAACAGTTTCTTCTTCTGCACATATTTAAAGTTGCCCTTAGCTGTATCCAAAATATTTATATTTTTAATTCGGTGTGTGATTGTGTAGTGTTGGAGAATCATAGGTAAGGTAGAATTGTATATATGCATATTTCAATGCCTTGTTGTGAACTCCTCAGTTTGGTTAGGTTAAGTTAGGTTAGGTTAGGTTAGGTTAGGTTACAGTATGTAGAATATAGTTCAAATTGCTGAATATGCCTTGGAATTTGTACAAAGTGGAACATGACATCTCCACTAAACTATGTCTCACTTACAAAAATATAGATATTTATAGTTCATTTGAAACTTTAAATATAAAAAAAACTATAATTTTACCTGTTGTATTGCATGGAAATAAAATTTGGACAATAACTCCAAAAGAAGAACAGTGATGAAGAGCGTTTTGAGAACAGATTGCCGAGCAAAATTTTTCGACATGTGAGAGAGGTAGCGACAGGAGGATATGGAGAACTTCATAATGAGGAGCTCTTTCATTTGTTCCTAAAGGAATATTACTAAGAAATCACATGTTTATTAACATATGAAAACAGTAAACATCTGTGTTAAGTCTGTTAGTAGTTCGCTGATATATTTATTTAAATGGTGCTTGCTGTCTCTATCATCAGGGCGAGCACAATGGAGGTGGCACACACCTTTGTGATGTCAGTAAACTACCAGATTACACAGCACAGTATTTCGGAAGACAGTTATATTCATGCTTGCCATCAGAATCTGAAATCTCAACATCTGTATGACATCTTCTTCTTCTATGTCTCTCCGGTCCATATTCGGTCCATGGCCTCCTCAATTCTCCTCTTCCATTCGGTCCTCTGTTAGGTCCGTCTGTCCGAGGCTTTGATCGAGGTTTAGAAACGTCTTCCTTTTTACGGTGCAAGGTTGTTGGCCTTGCGACCAACCCCCAACCTGGAGGACCAGGGTACCTCTCCCCCTCGACCATCTGGCTAGGGAGGCCCTACGAGTAGCTCTTGGGGTCACTGAGGTACTCAGGCCCCACCACCAAGACAAGCTGCAGGTACCATTAAGTGGGGATCTGTATGACATGAATTATAATATTCTGAACCAAATCTTAGATTTTTTGCCATGTGCACTTCATGTTCCATTTAGTACAGTTATTCATTATTGTTTGCAACAACTTGCTGCATATATCTGTGTTGTTTTCAGTGCATATAGCATGCAGATGTTATTATTGCCTGTTGCATCTAGCTGTGATTTGCCGTCTGTTTAAATGTTCTATTAGCTTGTTGTTAGTATATTATGTTGAGTGCTGGGTGTTGAAGCTAGCTAAACTCTGATTGGTCCAACAGTCTCTCATTATCCAGGTTGCAAAGAAGGCGAGCGTCTTGAAAAGACGGAAATCAAAGAACCGAATGGAAGTGCCTAGCAATGTGTTGGAAGGGGGCAGTAATTCAAATCGACGAGAGAGCGAAGGAGATGTGGTGTTTTATATTGAGGAGCCTAAAGCAGGTACAGTGCTTTGTGTTGAGGAATGCATAATTTCTTGTATCTAATGAAATTAAACATCAGGAACCATAAATACGAGTTGTTATGATTGCTATGTTACAGGGACACCGAATCGTGTAAGGAGAGAAGGTCGTGGGTCATTGTTCACAAGCCAGACGAGTAGTGTTACAGAGGCAGCATCTGATGAGAATGATATCGATATAGACGAACCTCAGAGGGTCACATCGTAAGTATTGGAATCATTTGAATACTCTGAGTGCAGTTAGGAGAATATGCTTCGTTCATCCAAACAAGTTTGAATTAATTGCATTTACTCTTTGTGAAACACTTCCAATTCTGTAAGATTTGAGGTTTTTACAGCGGTGAGTACGAAGATTTCTGTCTTCTGGGTTTTTGCGCTGTGTAGTCTGGTCGATGTTTATCAGTGTTTCAGAGGTTGTACTGCCTCTGTCATCAGGGCGTTGAATATGCATCGACCAGACTACACAGCGCAAAAACCCAGAAGACAGAAATCTTCACTTCCAATTCTGTCTTTTCCACCTTTTTTTTTTTATAATTTTGTGAAATGTTTATCTGATGCAGTGTTTGAAGTAGAAGTTTACAACACGTCAGGGATATGTCGTATCCAGTATGTCTTTGGCGCTTAGTAAGAAAATCTTAGGTCAATACAGATTTCTTATTTAGTACCAAAGATATGTGTTGAAGGGAGTTCCATTTAGTGTAACTATCTCAGAGCCGTAATTCAGACACTACTGCGGACATGGCAAATTAGAAATGTGCATTGTAGTTCTGTTTCAAAACACTGCTTCCATGAAACTATATCTGTCTTCTCCTTGTTACAATTGCTAGCTGTTTAATTTGGCGCAGGCTGACAGAAGCACACCGAAATGCAATCCGAGCAATACGGAAGATAAAGTACTTTGTTGCGCGTCGGAAGTTCCAGCAGGCGCGAAAACCTTACGATGTGCGCGACGTTATTGAACAGTACAGTCAAGGTCATCTGAATATGATGGTTAGAATAAAGGTAAGGGCAGAACATTTCCTTTGTTACTGTTACATAAGACACATTAAAACACGTGCATTTATTTCCTCTGAAAATGATATAGTTTTATCTGTGACTATGAGATACTTCTATAACGTAACTGGACGCAACTAGCAGAGTTATTACTACACAAAATAGTGGAGAAGGATGAAAGATTCTGATTATGTGTAAATAAAACTCGAGAAACACTTTTTTGTGACTGCTACACAAATCTGGTATCTAATTGATCAGGCAACTAAATATTAAATTTTTATCTGTTAATTTCTTCAGTTGTTGGCAGAAGGAGCTTCTGAAAAGCATGAAACAATTATTCATTATTCTATGGAATTATGAGTGACAGCATATTTATTTTAATTAATTAAAAATTTAATTTTTTTGCTTGTGTCTCATTAATTTCTTTTTAATTGTTTGTTTAATTATTATGTGTGGCAGATGCCAGTTTGTGTTTAAGAAATGTGATAATTAGAAAGTATATTCACAAATTTTAATTTAGCGAAGTGCCATGAACCAAACAAACAAAAAAGGAAATAAACTTTAAGTATGGTAGTTAAATTAGTGGTTTTGTTTCTTTAGTCTTTTGTTCTGATGAATAGTGAGTAACAAGTGTGAATCCTGTTCTGTTGCTATTATCAAAGAAGAGCGAAGTGCGCAAACCCACACCTCGTGTCTGTCTTTTCATACCCGATGCAGCTAATACAAGTTATTTCTACAGGAACTGCAGAGGCGACTGGATCAGATGCTAGGCAAGCCTGGAAGCTACATGGCAGGCATCGATCGAGCTGGAAACGTAAAGCCCATGACAATTGGAGCCCGTCTGTATCGACTTGAGCAGCAGGTCGGTAAATTCAGATTCTGTGTGCCACATGAGATGAATAATTTATGTTAGAAAACACCCGAATTCACAGTTTCGCACAAATGTCTTTCTTAAAATATCAGTCACTTTGAAAAAAAAAAACCCTCTGAGTTAGGTCACTTTGGCAGAAAAACATTTGCTTTATTACAGTTTGATTGTGTGAAAAATTAATAGTACGGATGTTGGATAGTTTTTTCTGGCATGTAACTTGTACCAAGTTTCATGAAAACCTGTCAGTTAGTTCAGAAGTTATTAGTAGGGACAGACATACAAACATGATGTCCCATAAGCTCATCTTTCTGTATAAAATATTAGGCTAAAAATTGGCGATGATGTGGGTATACACTCAGTGAACTGTTGACGCTGGAGAGGACATGACTTACATGGCAGTCTTAATATTATTTGATTTTTCTTTTTTAGTTATCGGTGATGGAGAAGAAACTGGACCAGCTCGTACATGTGATGAACGCTGTTGCCCAGATGCATCAGATTCCTATCCGTTTGGTAGAAGATGAAGTCTAGCGAATGAGGTAGAAGCAGTCCGCATCGATTTGGTAGTGCTTCAGGTGACGATCCTGAGCCAGCGCTGTTCTCTGCTGTGCGTATTGCTAATTCATTTGCCTCAACAGCCAGTTCGATCATTAAATGAATTTCAAAAAACTATTTTATCATCTCTTATGACTCTTTCCGTATTGTATCGTAGGGTATTTCTCAGCACTTGTGTGGGTTAATTACGTCATGCCTTGTCAGTGTTTCTCTGGAATTGGTATTTTTGAAAGAGGAAATATGTCAGAAGAATAGAATATGTTGTCCATAACATCCTGACACAAAAGTACGTGTTTTACCCAGTATTGGATTCTGTCATTTAGAATATAATTATGGATTAAGTTTTATTTATTGAAACAATTGTACATTAATTTAGCCAGTAACAATCATATTTTCATTCCAATGGTATTCAATGCCATGGCTATAATATTTAATCTGTAAAATGGATTAAATATATTTCTGCAGTCCTATATTATTATTTTTATTTAATTTTCAAGCACATATAAGGAGCAGAGCGAGAAACCACACACAGACATGTCCTGGTTTAGTCCTTCCACGTACACAAAGTGATCACTGTATCAGAGCTTGATGGAAGACATTTTTAATTACATATAATATACCTTGTTAAAATTAATGTATCTGAGAACGTTTTCCAGATGATGTTTGTCATTAAGGTGATGGTTAGTGAAGCAGAACAAAGTTCTGAACCCCTGAAGGAAGGTGCTGAGAATGAAGTATGTACCGTTTCTTTTTATCAGTCATGCCCCCTTCTACTTAAGTGTAGAGAGTTGTACACTTAAAGTATATTAATTTTAAATTTACTTTTCTCAAGTTTTGAAAAGTAGTTTGCTGTACCACAGTACGTACATACATACCGTGACTTACTTTTATCGAGTTATAAGCTCGATACAGACCACTCCTTTTCAAAATTTATTAAATGTTTAACAAGACAAACATGAAATTATTATGGTATGCCCTCTTTATGTAGCCATTATTCAGTTCAGTATTTACAAGAGCAAATTTCATTTTCATGACCCCTTCAAAAATTTATAAATATCTGAATATGGCATCACCATTTTGGTTATTCTAGTTTCGCTAGTGGTAAAGACCCATTGAAATTCAATGGGGAATGATTTCTTTTGTACATAGCTTCATCCTTTGTGCAAACTGGTTCTCTTTCTCCCCCCCATTCCATGTAATTTGAACATTTTTGTCACCCTTGTAAAAAAAAACTCGTATAATAACTGCCCAGTGGTAGCAGTGACTGTAAATAGAACATTGTGCCATCAAACATCATTTATGAATGCTCTCCACATAAACCATGTTTTATCATCAGTTTCATGCCCACTTAATACCTTCAAGTCCAAATTATTAAATATTTGAATTTTTGTCAAGGAAAAACATGAAGGAAAATACATTCACATCAATCATATTTTTTTAATTGTGGGAATTATTTCTCCCAGTAAACTTGAAAGGGTTTAATATTAGCTCTGGATTTTTACACAAGCAACTGAACAAAAAATGGCTTTTGTATGGCACATAAAACAATTAATATTTATTTTAATTCCACATTTATGTGTTCTAATTTGGATTAATTTTTCCATGTTCAGTGACTCTTATGTTCACACAAATTGTGAGCCTTTTGGCCAGTCTCTTTGCTCTCATCGAATATAATAATTTTCATGTCAGTATCATTATTGTCCATGCAGGAATTCATCGGCTGAATTATGTTACAGCTTTAGTTATAAAATAATTTTCTCGCTATTTAATAGATGGAAATTAAATAAAATTTTACATTAATACTCTTATTAACTGAGATCAAAATCATCACTCCTTCGCAAGTTGATGGCATTATAGCAAACTGGTGCAAATCTGGATTTGTCAATTACAGTAATTTATCAGTACATTCCGTTTCAAAATAAGGGAGTTTATTACTGAACAGTTGTAAATAAGCAACCTGTAATATAGATTTATATGTGGTTGTACAAAGTAATGACAGAAGTTAGATCTGTTAACTCCCATTTCTGATAAAAGTATATTTACGTATCCAAATCATTTCTACCGTTACTGGTAGCAGTTGCTCATAATTCCAGTTGCTTTCAGCGTTATGTTATGTTATCAGCAAATCATCATCATGTCGAGTATTAGGCCATGTGGCCTGTTACGGTTTCATGCCATCTTCTCCGTGGTCTTCCTATGGTCTCTTCCCCCAAGGCTTATATGTTGCATTCAGTTTTTTTATGTTATTGTGTTTCATTATTCTTATATGTTGTTTCCATTTAGTTCAGAATATAATTGTATAAATTTGATAACTGAATTGTTAATTCTTCTAAAGTACTTTCATATTGTTTATAATCTATAGTGCGTAACCTGCAGTTCAACATACGTTATGACATGAATCCAGTTTCCATCTGCCAGAGTCACTGTACTAGGAAATGGCACCACAAATGGAGGATGGATTGGTGGATCTGTATTTTAAAAAAATAGACAAACACAATTCAAAGAGGAACGTTATATAACTGATGTGGTAGCTCGATAATTCATACACCTGATGTTACTAACGTCTGGCTAAATTAATGCTGCTGTAATAACATTAAATTAGAAGAAAGTTTCAAAAATGGCATGAATGTTTTCTGTGTAACTTAAATAATCTTCCTGCAGAGCATATGTAGTGGAAAATGCCCCAAATATCTCTCATTTGCTTTTATTTCAATAACGTTAATACTTTTCTTAGCTGATTACAATTATAGTTTATGTGCCTTATTTCCTTGTTCGTTGTAAAGCGTTATTTGTTAACCGTTATCACGTGGATATAGGATATTTAAACTCCTGTGTTCAGGGCTGCCAACTGCACTTTTAGCCCTGGGGTTTATGATTTAAAGATGTTATTGGAGTCCAGAGTCAGCTGGATCGCATGCTGATAATGGTTAATATTTTATTAGTATGATTTCTGATTCCATATTTTATGTTCTGATAACAATAATAATATCATCAAAAATTGGTGTTAACTCTTTCACGCCTTTTGTATTTTACAAATAAATTATGTAATTTGGCACATATCTTGACAGAAGCTTATTCGTATGTCACTTTATTTTGATGGGGACACAAGATAATTAATAAGAAACCAAAAGTTATTTTATCCACATTAAGGATTAAAATATTTTTAAAATGTAATAACATTCCCACACTTATTTGACACAAAACTGTCCATTTATTGACATTTATTGAGGAATTAAGTTTTTTTAATTTATTTGACGTTTTAAATGATCTAATTTCATTCATGTGCCTTCACTAGGAAAATTTTTTGTTAATTCTAACAGCATAAATGAAGAACACTAAAAATATTACCTGTTTGGTGACTGATTTCAGGCTGTGTCAGTAAGGACAATATTCTGTGGGAGCAATAGACATCTTTCTTGTTAGCTCCTCAGCTGAAATCTCCTCCTTTGAAGGAAACCTTAAAATGAAATTTAATGTACTTCTAATATTCATTTGACATATAATTAAAAATTCTGCAGGGAGATCATATATCAAGTTCTGGAAAACAAGGAGTTGTGTGATTCATGTATTATAGTTATTAATGCGTTTGTTGAATGGAAGATTTGATAACGCAGCTGGAGTGGGCACTATGTCAAGACTTTCAAATAAATAATAGTTCTCTGACTTTTAACTGTGGTGAGAAATGTTGAGAAACCTAATATACAAATTAAAGAGGAATTTATGAACTATTTCCCAGGTACTTGCAGGGAAATATTTTTTGTGTTGTATGTTCATGAAGACGTGATTTTAAGGGCTAGTAATCGGTTGTGCACATGCCTAAGAGAAGTGTTGAAGTGTGTTATGCAAAGTGAAACTGCATAAAAGAAATTCATATATGTGTGAGATATATTGAACATACGTGCTAACTTCCAACCATTCCCGAGGAAACCAGAAAAGTGAAATGAATCGGTAGATGGACAATGTGACTACAGATTTGAAACAAGACCAGGTATTTCTGACCATTCATCCATTCACTTTACAGTTTTACATAAGATTATACTTTTAAATAATTATATTATTTTAACACATTTTCAAATTGTAGTTTTTCATTCGGAGTATCACATCCGAGCACTGCATTGTTTAATTTTTAAGTCACATCATTTTTGGTAGAATTTCATATCATATATTAAACATTGAACCATTATAATTCTTAACACTGGATACTTTTTCCCCAGACATGCAAATGTGCAATTATGTAAACATTTTACTTTGTCACAAAGATTTTTCTTTCCATGACAAAATATTTTAATTTTTTTAATTGGGAACCCTGTTGTAACAATTTATTATTAAAAATTATATTATAAAAATTAAATGTGTTGTATGATGAAGGATATTGCAGATTGGACACTGAAAGGTTGGAATGGCTCATGCCAAAAAAATCAAAGTTATACATTGTGTGCCATCTATGAAAACTGAAGGACAAGGAAATTTTAATATCTGAATTCCAAGTATTTGCAGTGTTGTAAACTTGTCTGAATGGAGATTTAAATAAGTTATTGTTTAAATTGTTAAATATTTAGGTACTTAATAAATAGACCTATTGAACACACTGAAATACAATTTAATACAAAAGTATATTTATTGCCTTAGAATGTGTTGCGTATTTTTCTGAAATTATTGTATCACAGTAAACCTTTCCTGTACACTCTTTGAAATCGATGAGAATTTGATTTTTATAGCTAAAAATATTTAAAGTATGATTTATAGAAATGGGATATTATTATTTTTGCCTTTTAAATCAGCAGATTTTGGAAGCTGTGTATGCAGTTTCTAATAACTCTCCTGATGCCCTCAGGACACAAGCTAAAGTCACTAAATCCAATTACAATAACTTTGGGTGGTCTCCATGCTAGTCAGTGAATACAATAAAATAGATAAATACTTTCTGTACATCTCCCCCACAAGTAAGAATTGCAAGGTTCTGCTGTATCATATAATTTTATTCTGATAATTCATATATGCATATTATGACCACATATTACAATTACTGCTATAATAATTTGAAAATCGTACAATTTTGGCCAGTGTTATAATTCTAATTCATGCAGCCTCACATAATATTGAGGGCTGTCTATTTAATATTACTGTCTTCTGATTATTATACACTTCAATGCAAATAACTAGTTTCATTCAAATTCGATGATACTGTTGTTAATTGTGATTGTATATCTATAACTTTACATAACAGAAAGACATTAATGCTAATATACTAAAATTTATATAACAAATATCCATTAGTGTTGTTAATATCTGCTAAATGCACAACTCATAGAATAAAAATATATCATATTTAGTAGCTTTATCTCCATGATCTTAAGTTGGTCACAAGAAGAATGTGGGTTCGTAATAGTGCGGTATGATAATACAGAATAGCTGAATATAATATTGTGAAACTAAATATTAAATTATGTTTCTACCCAAAAGGATGTGCAGACAATTTGGAGATCACAATAAAATAGAATTAATATGTATATGACTAACCTTGAAAGCTTAAACAGTCCAAGTGAAAATGTCAATGTCCTCTCTGGAATATCCTTATTTAATCACTGTTGATTAGATTAAAAATACAAAGTGAATTATCTTTAACATATTAAGTAAGAATTTATAGGAATCAAATTACATATTTTTGTGCTCTTAAAACTGCATTAGGTTTTAACATACAAGTGTATGTAGGATGGTACTGGTACTACAATGTACATTATGTATTATATTAAATTTTCTCCAATTCCCTAATATTTTAAGGGATACTTACTAACAGAAATTTGTGCAGTGAGCTCATAGCCCGTAACTCCAATAGCAGACAGAGCCGAAAACTTGCTACTCACAGATGGAGAGGAATGGTGTAGTTATTAATACCAAATAATTCTAAAGAAAAATAATAATTCTAAAATTAGTGAGGTTGAATAAATTTTGAGAAAAAATATTTTATTAGTATTCGTTTGTAAATACCTAGTGATACTTTTTTAACTTTCTTGTTAAATAATGTTCATTGGAATTAATATTCTAGTTTAAATATTTTGAGTAAATTTTATTGATTGTGTGCCATTATATTAATGACAGTTAGTATGTGTATTTATTATCAAATACAATTATGTATATGATTGTTTGAAATTTTACTTTATTTGCTACTTTCCCAACATGTTTCATCTGTTCTCCAGATATCTAGAGGTTCACATCGGAACCTTTTCCAGTAAGTGATTGTTACTAATTGTTTAAAACATCCCATGAAAATAATTTTGTTAATTTATTTGCATACTTTAACATTATTTTAAATACAGATACTGTGAAACCTAAAGGAAAACTTAAAAGAAATGTATTTGGAAAATGGTTTTTTTAAAAAGGTAATATTACTCAGAGTATCGAGTGTACAGAAGAGAATGAAGTAAATTTGAAGTCGTGCGAAACTGTAAAATCATAATTGAGGTGTACTTTGATTAATACACGATGATGCACTTGTCATCAATTCACTAATCTAAAGATAAAAATGATGACAGGCCAAGTGTTTTTAAATTAAACCTTCATGAAAATAAAACAGATAAGTAAAATAACTGCTAATATGTAAATTTGGCATAGAAAACCCACAAACTATTTAAATTTGTTGTGGTTTTTGTATAACCTAGAATTCACTAGAATACTGCTGAATTTAACAAGTTCTGCTAGATAAATTTAAATGCAGTGTCTTGTATTTCAGAAATTCAATATAAAAGATATTATTAAACACAAATCATCAGGTCTTAATATATTTTGTTTAAGTGTAAAATAACTAAGATATCTTTATCACTTAATACTTGTTCCTAAATATTCAAAACTTTGGAAACTTTGGTACACATAAAAAGTACATCAGTACATTTATTGTATGTTAAGTAGCAAATAACATTTTATGTCATACAAATGTATTTTGTTTAGTTTTAACTCTGTCTGCTGTGGCATATGGGAGTTATATATGAAATAGTTATTTAATGACAAAATAGTGATTTTCTTAACTCTGCAGTAGTTAAAATATAAAATGAAGGTCCACTCTCTTTTAAATAATATTAATTCCATATATTTCATTCATACTCATTAACACAAATATTTTCTAATAAAAATAATAGGTTTAGATAGTAATGCTATCAGTATAGTAATATATTCTGAGTAGGTGACACATATTTTAGAGATCTCTTTTGCTTTCTTCGGTGTTCTGAGAAAATGCCTCCTCTGTGCCTATTTTAGAAATAATACGAGTAAGAGATATAACAAACTCATTATCAATAATATTAATAATAAATATATCATACTTATTCTCCACACACCTGTGATGATTGATGTCTGCCGTGCAGAAACTAGTGTATAAAATGTATGAATAATATTTAGCATCGTTTTACTTGATCTTTCATACTGATACCTTAATCTGTTGTAATTGGTTATTTTATTGTAGTTATAATTGTAAATATTGACTTGCTACTCGATCCCTAACTAATATTTGCAACACTGAACACTGTGCAACCGAACCTGTTTCCCTTTTGGCTTACTGTGATATCACTTCTCGATCCCGTTTCCAACCGTTACAGCATAACCTATTTGCTAAGTTACACGGTCATACAAAATAATGTTTTGTAACATTCATCTGCCATTATAGTCCATAGACCATGAAACTAAAATTAAAATTAAAACAATCTATTTCATTATCATGTGTTTAATAAGAATTGCAAATTATGTTACACATTTCATTCCAATTAATTTTATTCTTTGAAAACAATGTACAATTTATAATTAAATGACAATAATATTGTTCAGATCAACATTTAATTTGGTTTATTTTCACTTATTACTAATGGTCCTGTAACTGTCTTTTGTTATTGTCATTTTGGTACACATTTCTGTATTTATCTTGTCTTGTGTATAAAATCATTTTATCCCTCCAGTATTATGTGGTCCTCACCCAGTCTGTCATCCAGATCAGTGGTATTCAACCTTTTTTGTTCCCGTACCCCCAGATATAATTTCTCTTCAACTTTGTACCCCCAAAGTTGTTGGTGTATAATTCAAGTTATACATAGTATATAATCTACATCTAAAATAAATTAAATAAATTACATTACTGATTATTCAGTGTTTATCATAATTTTTTTTAAGATGTCTTCACGTACCCCAGGTTGAATACCACTGATCTAGATGACATGACAATAATCATATTTTTATAGTGCATAAAGCAGTCTATGTCAACCACAGTTTCATTACTGAATTCTTAAATATTGCTATTGATAGTGATCATTTCATGGATTAATCTTTATTGTTTGTACATTCATTCTTACATGCATCGCATTAGCCTTCACCTAAACCGTTCGTTGACAACATAGTTATAGTTCGGCTGGCAGTCGGTACAGGATTTCAATTCCCTATTCTCATATAACAGTGGTTAGACAGTTCTAAAGTAATGAAACTACTGGACATAGATTATTTTTGTACTGGAAGAGCCTCTTATGGAAATTAAGACATAACTGGATGAAAGGGTTTTATATACAAGAAGGAAAACAAATAGAATATGCTGTAGATTATCTTCTGTTGCTATGCCACATTACCCATTTATTTCTTATTAATGTACGCATATGATGCAGCTCCTTACTAATTATATGATAAGAAATTAAAGAAGCCTTCAGATCACATTCTAAGAACTACAGTAATTTTACTGTGTGATTTAATGTATCATTGTTTGTGGTTTATCAGGGTTTATTCCAACATTCCAAAACAAGATACTGTAAATTCTAATAATGATTTTTGGATATTCTCTATTATAAAACTGTGCATATTTTTAAGAACTGTGAAGTGCATTGTACTATTTGACTGCTGTGACATTTGTTGAATGCATGTAATTATATTTTGTTTGTAATTCTTACATTGAAGCAATTGGTTTGAAGGAAACAATGAGGTATCTGAGGGTACTGCCACAAAGGTGATGGTTTACCTGCAAATATTGTCCACTCCCTTCCTTTTTCACTTTTTTCCTTCTATTTATAAATCTAACAATACCGACTTGAGCAATATGAAGAATTTTTAAAATTAACCCTCAAAATTTATGTAGTTAATTTGCTCAGAAATTTGTAGGGAATGTTGCTAGATTTTATTGTGTACATGGTAGTCTGTTTTGTAAAATTTGCTTATGGTAATATAGGTTCCTAATCTTTTTTTTTAAGTTTAAAATTTCACAGAAGACACATTTTGTAAGCTAAAATGCACTTACATTTTTTCAGTATAAATACTGTTTTACAATTTTACATTTCTAAAAATGTTTGGTTCATTCTCTCAATTGTACATTGGTGAACCAACAGCTTTTGTTGGATTTTTAAAATTGTCATGGCAATGAGTTTGAAGATGGCTGTTTTCTGGGTTGTTGTGTCATGTAATCTGGGCGATCATTGCCTCGATAGAGACAGCACGCACCTCCGAAACATCATTAAACTTCTACAGACTACGTGGAGCAACATCAGAAGACAGTCGTCTTCATACTCCTGGTGGTGAGAACCTGAAATACATGAACATAAACGTAATGGTTATATCTAAGGAATCCAAACCATCTATACTTTTTTATAAACTATTACAAACTTTTACTTTCATATATATTGAAATCATGGATTCGGTCACAGCCATTAACAATAGGGAATAGAATTCACTTCCTGCTTTTTGATTAATCCTTGCTCAATGGATCTTGCAGACCTTTGCTTCAGTGTATAAGTCAGAAAGTTGTCATTTGATGTTTCAATGACTTCGAGAACATGATACTGTTACAAGGAAATGAACAGTAGTTTCTACAAAAGAATCTTTGAATTAACAGTTCAGGCTTAGAAATTATGTTAAATTTTTGTAAAAATCCAATTTTGTGTTTGTGAAAGCAGCATACTGTATACTCAGTATGGCAACAGTGAGTTTATTCATAAGACCTGAGAGTAAGTTTCTTACAGTCTCAGTGGCTTCTAATTTGAGGTTATAAGGGTGGCATTTCTACATTATTGTCATTCTGGTATAATGTGTATTGAAAAAAGTGTCTAACTATTTTCCTACATCTCTGTACTATATATATATATTGATATTACCTGGGATTGTCTGTTAATTGTGCTATTTTTAGAAAGTACTAAATTAAGAAACATTTTGGATTACACTGGTGAACACTGAGTTCTGCTTTGTCATACGTGGTTAGCTCTGTGACACAGTAATGGCTGATCACATGAAAACCACTTTATGATAGCTGATTAATACTGTTGTGTAAATAAGTTCAAAGAATTCAAGAACAGCAATTTAGAATTTTGCTTGATGAGAGCTGTTTTGCCTTAAATGCAATAATGAATATTTTCTTATAGTGATAAACTTTTGTTGGACAAAAGGAACATAAGTGTCCCACTATATGTGATGCATTTAAACAGCTGAATGGAACAGATAATGCCCTGCTAGAATACTTATTGTTTGCCTGTTTGTATGTATTCAAAGTAATGGATGTTTAATTTTCTGCTGAACTTCAAAAAGAATTTATGAACATCCAAGATTGTCGCATTTGTATTGGACTAAAAACGAGTCCCATTTGAAAAGTTAGTTAGATTACAACAGAAAGTTGGCAGTGCACTGTGAAACTGTAGAATACATGATAATTTTATTTTTGTCTTCTGAGAGATCCTTTTTTTGTATCATAAATTTGGACAAAACAGAACACTGTTCTTGCACAATTCATAGTCAAGTCCAGGTTTTGAATTCATACTGCAACTCTGACCACATTTGTACTCTTTTATTCACCTCCAGGGGCCATTTTGAAAGCATTATTGCAGTAGTATCTTGTAGATAATGAGGGTAAAAATACTATACATGCTACAGAAATTACTAATGTAACTTTTTTCTATACACTTGTATAGGGAATATACTAATAATTGCATTATATAAATAA